TCATTAAGTAATGCAATTACGTCGTCATATGGAAATAAATATTCACGTAAGGTGGAAATACGCGTAATCGGTTTATTCATTTTTGATGGACAAATCTCGACAGGAAGATCATGATGGCATTTCGACGCATTGGAATTTGAATGAAAAATTGAAACACGATCGACATAAGATTGTTAGGTACGTACTCGTTTTCGGTGCATCTACTAAGCTGTACGTGGTTAATTACTTCGATATAGGTTGCGGAAGACGGTCAATGCACAAAGAACTTCGATAAATCAGAGAAATCGAATCGTCAAGATAATCAAGGGGCATGAAGAAAACGTGTCGTAAGTAGTGAACAGGAAAACGACGTAATTATTGAATAAATGATTTGTTCAAACCATGCGCTTCTTATTACAGAAGAATTTATGGGGTTATTATAAGTAGTTTTGTCAATATGGTAGGCTCATTACGACTTGCATATTATTTATTGCAACACGCGTCCTGTTATGAATGGGGAAGGTGGGGAATTTTTAATGATATTTATTTGGAATTTGTGACGATCGTGATCGTTGCGTTGGGATTTTTGTAATTTCTCTGAATGATAATCATGGTAAAAGGTAATACTTATGATCTATTTTTCGAAATCATAAAAAATTGTACCGATATCTGATTTAATGCAGCGTCGATTGCGAGGAGGATACATCGATGATGAAAGTATAACAGACAGAATCTACATGTGACCTATATTTTCATCAAGGATCGTAAATATAGAATGTCCTTTGCTTTGTCAAATCAATAAAACCCTTGTTTAGTGTAACCGTACGATCACGGGGGTCCGATATCCGGGGTTTTACAGATGACATTAAAAAATCGTTATTTTCTTTATCTATATTAGTTTTTATATTTTTAATTAGTTTGACGCATAAGAAATGTCAAGCATCCTGCCAAATCAAACTCTATACGTCCGAAACTTGAACGAAAAGATTAACAAAGAAGGTTCTAAACATGACCGATTCAGGCGATGCAACGTTTTTATGAAAACTAATTTTTCTTTATTTTTTCAACATGTTTAGAACTAAGGAGATCTTTGTATTCTCTTTTTTCTGCCTATGGACGTATTCTTGATATTGTTGCTTTGAAAACAATAAAGATGCGAGGCCAAGCATTTATAGTCTTCAAAGAAATTCAAAGTGCCACGACGGCTATGAGAGGACTTAACGGATTCATGTTTTATGATAAACCCATGGTGAGTTTTTCTCAAACGCATTTTTTCTGGTTTTTTTCTTTTTTTTTTTTTTGTTTAGCCACAAGTTCACGTGTAAGACGTGTGTCGGAATAAAGATTTTTCGTGTGTTGAGGCTTGTGGTCTCAAAATATGGGCTGATAATACCATCCTTTTCAATTCTTCAAACCTCAGAAGGCGAATCGGCTAGATTGAATGAATCTGACTTTATTTTACGTAAATTTTTCGCGTCAATACATGCTAATCAAACACAGCAAATAGAATATTCTAAAAACAAATCTGATGCTGTTGCAAAATTGGATGGGACATGGAGGAAACCAGGTGTTGCTGCAGCAAGCACTGGTTCACAAAGAACTTTAGGACAAGCAGCGCCTGCAGAAAAAAGACAAAGAGAGGAAGAAGGTGGGGATGAGTAATTATCCTTGACAATGTGGATTTGATATTCATGCAGTTTTCTATTTTAGAATTTGCAAATTACAAGAGAGCAGCAGACGGAGGAAAACTAACCGATAGAGAATCAATGACACCTGAAATAGGTAGGTAACTCGATTACCGTTGTTCTTAAGTTTTGAATGATTTTTTTGTATTAACTTACTTTTTTGATCATAAAGAAATGGAAGATGAAACGGATTTATCACAACCATCGGGAGTCAATATCACAAAGGGAGAACAAGAACCGCTTAATAGAATACTGTACATACAAAATTTACCACCTGATGTCACAGATGAGATGTTAAGTTTCTTGTTCGAGCAGTAAGTACACAATTTATCAATAACCTCGAGTCACTGTGATAAATGTTTAATAAAACGTAAAAATTTTAGATATCCGGGCTTCAAAGAGGTGCGCCTTGTTCCTGGCAAATCGGATATCGCTTTCGTGGAATATGAATCAGACAACCAAGCCGCTATTGCCAAAGAGGTTTTGAATGGATTTAAAATTACTCACGATAAAGAAATGAGAGTAACTTTTGCAAAGAGATAAATGTTGATAAATGGTGATGCATGAAGAAATGAAAAAACACGTGAAGGAAATTGTTTTAATTTCTATTTTAACGGGCTTGATATCTCATGCGTGTTGCTTCTATTGTAGATGGACACTATGATTGTATATAAATTTGATTTTAAATTCATGCATATGTTCGTTCCTCTGTAATCATCAATAGTTTTCTAAAAAGGAAAGGTTAATATTAATAGATTTATGTATACATTATGGTGTCTTTATAATGGGTCTTGTCAGATTCAAATTGATGATAAATAGAAACCGTTTATGGCACATGGCTACGAGTTTGCCAATGATCGATGATCGTCGATCACACTTGGCATAAATCTATTGGTCTTGTATGTTGTATTTTATAATTTCACTGAAAAATTTTCAAGGACACGTTCTTTAGACTAGAATTCATCATGGCTGCCAAACACTTGTCAGTCTTGCTTTTATCATTTCTTTTCGTTGGTACAATACTTTTGACCTTCGGTCATGCCGCTAAACCATCATTGGAGAAAAAAGTTGCCGCACTTAACCATCTCTCGAGGAACAATAAAGGCGTAGTCGAACTCGATTCAAACTCTTATGATGAATTCGTTGCCAAACCCAGGAATTACTCCATGATCGTACTGCTTACTGCTTTAGAGCCTCATATACAATGCATTCCTTGCAAGTAAGTCTATATCTTTGCGAAATGTCTCTTATATCTTAATTCTTAACTTTATTTCTTGTTGATACGCATGACAGGGAATTTGATCCTGAATTCAGATTGGTTGCGGAGGGTTGGTTACGATCTAAAAATGATCTGTCCCGGTTATATTTTGGATCCTTAGATTTTAAGGATGGTAGGGAAGTTTATGTCAAGGTAAATATCCAATGAATATTTTTTACTTTTATTTTGGGGAACGCGCTAAATAGGTGAATTGATCGCATCGGATTATAGCTCAATTTGAATAACGCTCTGACATTATTTTATTTCCCGCCGACCACTGGCCCTTACGCCAAAGCTGTTTCGGAGCCTGATAAATATGATTTCAATAAACGGTAGTTACATTTTCTTTTTAATTCATTTTAATCCATTTATTCTTAAGCATTGTCTCAATTTTTATATAGTGGCCTTACTGCGGAAGAGTTGGCCTCCTATTTATCCAGTCACCTCGGGACCAATGTTCCCGTCAATCGCCCTTTGAATTATTTCTCTATACTTTTAACAATATTTTTTATAATCGCGGCATTAGCTACTATTAAGTTGTTGTATCCAATGTTCAGTGGTATATTAAGAAATAAAAATTCGTGGGCTGCTATATCACTGGTAAATATTCATTTTTCAATGATGCATGTGTTATCTACATATCATTTAACGATTCTTCGTTTCTTAGATTATAATTGTCATGATGATTTCTGGACACATGTGGAATCAAATTCGTGGAACTCCATATATAATCTCTCAGAATGGTCAGATCAGTTATATCGCACAAGGATTTTCAAGTCAATTGGGAATTGAGAGTCAAATTGTAGCATTTATATGTAAGATGAAATATTGAGTATTATTGATATTCTGTATGTGATCATACTGGTTTTGACAAGTTACTTCGTGATTTAGATGCCGCTTGTGCATTTTCAATTGTCTCTTTAATAGTAACCGTGCCGAAAATTGAAGAAAGTTCTAAACAACGTGCCGCAATATATGTAATTTGTTTTTTCAATTTTGTTTCTTGCTTTCAACTTGGAAAAGCTACTCACATATACATAAATATATATCTATTCTTAGTTTTGGACGAGTGTTCTGGTTGGAATGTTTAGCTTGTTGTTTGCACTTTTCAGAATAAAAAATCCTGGATATCCCTTTAAGTTATTTCTTTGAAATTTCGAAAGCGCATGAAAAATTTTTATTGTTCAATAAAATCATTGCATCAAATTTTCCGTTCAATAAGTATTCGTGGTTTTTGCATAGATTAGAAATTCTTTATTATTCATTTCCTTTTTGGAAAAACTTCACGTGATGTAATCAATAAAATAGATGTAACTGACCAATGATATTCTATGATTTACCGATAAAAAATTTGAACTAAATAATCAAGTACCTATTTTAGTATATTCATGAGTGAAGATGTCTAAAAAACAAAGATTACTTCCACATAAGGATATTGAGCCACTAGAAGGGTCACTCTTAAAAAGCAAAAGTTTGCAATCTCGAATATTTCAATCCTTTCGTGCCATCGGATATGTTGCGAACGAAGTACCTTTTGACATTCAAGCGAGAGGACAAGTTTTTTTCATTACGACAAGCGTAGGCAACAGCTTTCATGTGTATGACGTAAGTCATGTTTATTCTAGTAAAAAATTGTCGGGCGCGAACAAATATCTAAATACGTTTTGTTTTGAAGTGCGGAAAACTTGGTTTGAAATGTGTAGGCAGGTTTTGTTCAAGCATCCTTTCTCTTTGCCAAATTTCATTTCGCCCGTTACTATTGATTTATGTTCTATTTTATTCCGACTTTTTTCATAGGCACAACAACGGAATCTCCTATCACGGCGTTAGCCTCATTTGGTGATTCTACCTTTGTAGCTTGCAGCGAAGAAGTAGTTGAATACAAGGGTGCTATTGTAGTAAGGAGATAATGATGCATTTGATTTGAGGCGAATTTAAAATTTAAAAATTGCAAAGTCCAACTCCGAAACCTGTTTCCCAGCATGCGCGATATCCTACGGGTCATCAACAAAGCGTCTTTTCGATGTTGATTTTCGGAAATTGGTTAATTGTTTTGACAGATGACAATTTCATGATAGTTTGGGATCATGTATTGAGAGGTAATGATGAACGTTTGAATTGATTTTATATATCGAGATTGATCTAAATAATTTCTAAATCGTGTTTACCAGAAAAACACGCCGAAATTCCATTCGACGATGACTTTACAATAACCGCAATAATTCATCCAAGTACTTACTTAAATAAAGTATTGATTGGCAGTAGACAGGGGAACATGCAACTTTGGAATGTAAACTCGAAGTATGTGTAATTAGAATATTTTATTATCCTTGTCGAATGATGGCATGTTTATATGGACTTTATCAACTGTATTGGATTTCTAGAAAATCAATATACTCGTTTGCTTCATTCGGAATATCTATAACATTCCTCGCACAATCTCCGGTGGTTGATGTTGTTGCAGTTGGATTGCTTGATGGAATGATAGTCCTACATAACATTAGACTGGATGAGCGTATCATTTCGTATAAACAGGAGGGAAGAGTAACATCGATTTCTTTTAGAACTGGTATATATCTGTAATACATTTCTTTTTTCTTTTTTTTTTTGCATATTCTAAATATAAACCAATTATAATTAATATCTTAGATGATTACCATATTATGGCATCTTCTAATATGTACGGAGATATCGCTCTCTGGGACCTCGACGAGAAAAGATTGTCACACGTGATTAGAGGTGCTCACGAAGGGTTAATCCCTTCCATTAAATTCCTTAATGGGCAACCGATACTTATATCGTCAGGCGCGGATAATTCCATTAAAGTATTACCCTCTCTTGGATTTTATGGCATTTAGAAAGGGCAGACCTAAAAAATTCATTGATTGTTGATTGATTAGGAGTGGGTTTTCGATTCTGTAGATGGAGTTGAGCCTAGATTGTTAAAGTCTCGTAGTGGTCATCATGCTTCACCGACAAATATCCAATATTATGACTCTGACGGTCACTTTATTCTTAGTACTGCTGGAGATAGATCATTGAGAGCATTTTCAATAGTACGAGATTCGCAGAGTGTGGAATTATCACAAGGTTAATTTAAAAAAAAAAAAAGATGTTTTTTTTTTCCAAGATTCTTAAATTATAAAATTTATAAGAATATGTCTGATTTTCAGGATCTCTTATTAAGAAAGCAAAGAAAACCACTGGTGCTCTGAAAAATTTAGACGCTTTAAAATTGCCTCAAATTATACGGTTCTCTGCATGTAGGTAATCTCCAGGTTTATTATTTTATATATATATTGATATTTTAATGTATCTATTTATATTTTTGATTACTTACAGCTGAAGCAAAACAGAAAGAGTGGGATAACATAATTACTTGCCATATCAATGATAGTGGTGCTCGTACATGGTCATTCCAATCGAAAGTAATTGGTAAACATGTTCTTCGCACCCTTGATGGTACACACATTAAGGTATAAAAAAGTTATTGTCTCAGTTGCTACATTACAAGTGGGATTATCTCAATTTATTTTATTTCGTACCAAGTAGGCCGTAAATATTAGTGCTTGTGGGAATTTTTGTTTTATCGGATCATCATCTGGCGCCATAGAAATGTATAACATGCAATCAGGAATTCATCGAAAAACCTTCGCGGGCGAAGAGAGTAAGTCGAGATTTTTTTTTTTCTGTAATCAATACATCAAGAATTCTGCGAACAATTTCATTATTTTGTAGAGCATACTAAAGCTATTTCTGGTTTGGCAAGTGATTCAAACAATCGTATTCTGATTAGCAGCTCTCTTGACGGCACGGTCAAGGTAAATGAAGAACACGATAAGCAATTTATTACATAAATTACATCACATCATTATATAACATGTTTATTAACAGATATGGGATTTTAAAACGGCTAAAGTTTTGCATATAATAAAAATCATGTCACCGATCACTTCATTAAAGTTCCATACAGAGAATGACCTGTTGGCAATTGTAAGTGATGATCTGTGTATTCGTGTCATAGATGTTGAAACACGTAAGATCATTAGAGAATTTTGGGGTCACCAAAATCGAATAACCGATCTGGTAATATAGCAATTATCTTCTCTATGTCCGAGAATAGGTAATCTGTGATTGACCGTATTTGCGTTAATAGACATTTAGTCCTGATGGTCGATGGATAATTTCTGCGTCCCTTGATGCTACAATCCGAACCTGGGATCTTCCCACCAGTCATTTGGTAGATATTTTTGAGGTTGAAAATGTCGTGACTAGTATGACCTTTTCTCCAAAGGGTGATTTCTTGGCAACCGCGCATGTAGACCTGTTCGGAATATATTTGTGGTAAGAAATTGAAAATAGTTCACCGATAACCCAACGAAACATTGACATATTTGTTGCATAGGGCGAATCGTACGCAGTTTTCCAACGTAACTTTGCGACGGATTACAGATGATGAAGTCATATCTGTCGAGCTCCCAACAACATCAGGCATCGACGGTGATATTGATGGTAATTACTTCAGATGTTATATTAGATTTAACATCGTATACATCCATATTAATATTACATATTATAAAGATTTTTTTGCAGCTGATTCCGAAGGTGAAGACAAAAAATCCTTTGAAACGCCAGAGCAACTTACAGAGCAGATGATAACATTATCGTCACTTCCGAAGTCAAAATGGCAAAATTTATTGAATCTTGACACTATTAAGGTAACGTATATGTGCATACCAATTCGACAAGGTCTTCAATAGCACGACGCCAATTTATATTATTATCATTTTTGTCTCGAATAGAAACGGAACAAACCTAAAGAACCACCGAAAGTTCCAGAGAAAGCACCATTCTTTTTACCCACTCTTCCTGGTGTCGATCCAAAGTTCATTCCAGTTCTTGATCATGATAACAGTGATTCTAAAAAAAATGAAAAGGCCATTAAATTGGGAGATCTGAAAATGGAAACAGAATTCATGAAAATATTAAAGAATGATCATTCTAAAGGAGAATGTGAGTCAATCTGCTATTTCCAAGTTACCTACTTATTGTTAACACAATTCCTATTTATTTAGACACGGAATTCTTCAATTTTGCAAAAACCATGAATCCTCCAGCAATCGATTTTGAGTTAAGGTCATTTAGCCTTAACAATGATTTTGAAGATTTAAAATATTTTCTTGATGCTATCAGGTCGAGAATTGAGTCCAGAAAGGATTTTGAATTAGTTCAAGTGTATTTGAACCGTTTTTTGAAAATCTATGGAGATATTATTGTTAATAATCCAGAACATTTTAGAAACCATTTAGAAGAAATATTGAGCAAACACACGAAAGAATGGGCCAGAGTAGAAGAATTAATACATTACAATAATTGTGTTTTAAGCTTTTTCAGAAGATGAAACTGACAAATACCGCCTGAAGGGATTATTGCAGGCGTGTTTTGTGCAATTGAATGTTTGATTCCTTGCTAAACGCTCGTTTTATGCTAATTTTGTCTTTTTAAAAAAAAATTTTTTTTATCCCAATAAAAATGCATGATAAACCAAAACTTTCATTCATACATTTGTTTTCAATATTAAAGTATAGGAATTTCATTTACCTTATTACCTGAAATCCTGCCTGCCATTCAAGCCTACCTATTATAGGGGTGTAAACTACTTTTAAGAGTTATAACTAATTTCTTATTTATATCGGAATTAATAGTCCCTTTGAAAGAATCTTAAATAAAGAGAACTGAACTTATAAATAAGTAACTCGACTTATCAAGTAAAAGCAATGGTATTGTCCTGCAAAGAATATCATCTCAGCTACTTAGGCGTCTGAATTAAGAACGCCTGTAGTAATTCTCCCAAGTCCGAAACCAGGAGTTTCCTTTTATTAAAAGAAAACGTACTTTTTTTTTTGTCTTAAATTAAACTTTCTGCTTTTAAAAACCGTTTATAAAGTAATCTCACAAAAGGTAGTGAAGCAGTTATAACATCGCGATGAATATTTAAAAGTTGGCGATGAGTAATCTTAACTATGAATGACTTCACAAAGACAACCAAGGTTTTTAATTATTAATATACTTTGGGGTGCCATCAGGAATAAAAGAAATTGGGTATGTAAACTAATTTCGTGTATTTATATACGTATGTGATAATCTTAGTAATACGCGTCAGAACTTAAGTGTAAACAAGATTTCCGCGATTTACAAAATATGAATAAACATGAATACTAATATTTCTATTTAATCACGCTTGTATATATAAGGCTATTACAATAAAATAAGGTTTTAAATACATGAAATTATAAAATTCTTTTTTTAATTTTTTCAACTATTATTTCAAAACAAGATCAAATAATTGGATTTTTTTTTATAATTTATCAAGGGCATTAGATGTGAGGCTTTTATTGATAATATGTTTTTTTTTTTCCCGCCTTTACTGTCTTTCACGAATATTCTTATTATTTTCTTTATACATTTATTTCAAATAAAACAGAAAAAAATAATCTTTAATTCAAAACTCTTATCTGTTCACTACTGATTCTTGGAAATTTTTCTTTTATGATAATTTTCTTTAAAGAAACATTTACCACTCTCTTTATATGTCGTTTATGCCTTAAGCTTAAGGACATAAGGACTTCAAGGATCACTGTTGCATTAGGATGGGATCTTTGAACAAAAGATAAGCAAGTTTGTAAGTCTTGCTTATCTTTTGTTTACATAAGAAAAGGTCTTCTTCATAAATTTGTTTTTATGTATCTTCTATTATCAATATTACTTTATCATTATCTTTTATCACACTTCAATATTACAAACTTACTTTTCAAATCATACTTAAGAAAAGTTTTCGAATCTTTTGCTTACTTCAATTCAACTTTAATTTTTTTAACCACTTTCTATTTGATATATAATATTGTGTCAACTTATTATTCACAAAAATCTACTTAAATATAAAAACCAAATTCAATTTCATTCTTTAAATAATCATTATATATCTAATAGTTAATTACAAATTATCAATCTAATATATCAAGAATAAAACTAATTTAAACCTGTTTAAAACAACAATAATACTAATTTTATATTATTATAATGCTTTAATAAATTTTCTAATTCAAGCAATACCAACTTTAATATTTTACTTATATGAAAATATTGGACTTTTAATATGTTTTATTTAACTTTTAAACAGTTATTTCATAGTTTTATAGGTTTAAACAACAATATCAAAATCTAATAAATAATATAATATTTATAAAAGCTATTATAAAAGTTTTATAAATCTAAACAATATATTTAAAATTTAACTCAAAAAAAATTTTTTTTTAACTAGCGAGGCTTTGCCTAATATACTTTATTTAGTTTACATGTATATTTCTTGTTACAAGACTTACTATCTATAAACTATTCTAGATGCATGTTTTGCTATATCGATTTGACTCCATATCA